ATTTATCCCTCCGCCTTTCAATTAGCCCCACATGTGATTATCGGCCAGGCTGGCACAATTCACTAACTCAGATAATAAAGATTGTAACCTACTTGCCCTCCTGTTGACTGCAACTTATGGTGACCTTGTGTGTATCCACGTAGATCTGTGGCCCTTGGGCTTCCCAATGACTGGTTTCTCAGAAGTAGAACGACAGGCCTGTCTTTGAAGGTGCCTCTGGGTAGGCTTGACCCTCTGATCTCCCACTTACTAGCCAAGTGTGTGAACTGTGGGTACTACCCAGGGACGCCGAATGGCGATAATAGCTACCATGACTGAGCACCTGCTGTGTGCCATACTCTGTGCTGAGCGCTTTATACTTTGCACCGGTTACCTCAAAGCTCCATAAACTAAAATAGCCCTGTTCATAGACCAGAACACCAAAGTTTGAACTGGCTGATAGGTAGAAATAAGCACTGTTTAAGAGCTTTTGCTCTCAGATGTCTGAAATCACTCCATAACCCTATTGCGCATCTGTGTTTGTGTGCACATGCACATATGTGAGTGAATGTCTGATGAACTTCAGGGACAGACAAACGTTTGGCCTTTTCTTCCCATCCCTTGTTTCTAAATGTCAAGGTCACCTCTGAGCCACAATTCCTTTTGAAAAGAGGTTGAGAGGCAGAAGTTTGGGCAGCCTGGACTTTGCTCTCCTGGGTGAAGGGTGCTGGGGATGCAGTCACTGCTCTGCAGTTTTTCCTCCCAATCAGCTCCATCCCAGAGGCTCCCCTAGCTTGTGTTCAGCAGGGAGGATCACCAGCTCAGCGGGCCTCTTGCCTGCAGCAGCCTCCAGGGCTACTGCTGTTTCTGACTATGCAAGTGTTTGCATCCCTGGGGGATTTCAAAGGCTTGTAAATTGTGTTCTCTGATGTGGCATGAGCTTGTGCAGCCAGGGGTCCTGGCCCCAACTTCAGAGCCACCAACTTGAAACAGCTGGCACACACCCAAGACCACCCTGGTCCTGGGGTGGGTGGTACACACAGTTGGTACTCAACGGCTAACTGAAAGGTTGAACGTCTGAACCCACCCACCCACCCAACATTGCAGAGGGAAACGGACTGGTAATCTCCTTCTATAAAGATGAGAGCCATTATTGGTCTAGCAGAGACTGGTGGAACACCCAAGACTGTGGTCTTTAATTGCCTTACGGGTATGGAACTGAACTCATCCATTTGGCAATAGGCAGGGCTATCAGAGGGACCACCATACCAGGGAGTATGCACACCTTAGAATAATCAGCCATCTGAGATCACAAGGACAGGCTTTGCCCAAAGACAAAGTTCAGACGGTTGAGCAGTAAAGGCGGAATGAGGACAGGAAGCATGGAAATAAAAAGGGGCAGATCGTGGTACATTGAGGGGTTGCAATGAATGAGGTGAAATAAACCGTGCATGACTTGTTAAACGTGAATCTGCTCTGTAAACCTTCACTCCATTCACACTACATTTTTTTTTAACAAGCTCACATGGCAGAAGCACACCAGCATGTGTGATCATGAGGTGTTGACGGGATCAGGTAACAGGCACCATAAAACCCAAAACAAATCATCATATTGTTGGCAATGAGGGAGGTCAGAGTGGAGACCCAAGACCCATCTGTAGACAATTGGACATCCTCTCACAGAAGGGTCACAAGGAAGGGACGAGTCAGCCAGGGTGTAGTGTAGCATACTGTGAATCCAAGGAGACACGCTATTCTTCTGGTTCCTTGAGGCTTCCTCACCATCCATATCATGACCCCAACACTGCCTCACAAATCCGGCTAGACCGGATTGACACTGTATGCTGTGTACAGACAGGAGCATGTACACTGGTCCAGACAAGAGCTCTTGACGCACAGAATCCAGGCCAGATAAACCCCTCAGGAACAGAAATCAGAAATAGGAGTACTGATACCAAGAGGGTAGGGGGAAGGTGGGGAGAGAAGGGGGGGGAAGGGAGCACTGATCACAATGATCGATGTATAACACCCTTCCCCAAAGGGGACGGACAACAGAAATGTGGGTGAAGGGAGACAGTGGTCAGTGTAAGATATGAAAATAACAATAATTTATAATTTATCAAGGGTTTCACGAGGGTGGGAAGGTAGGGGAGGGAGAGAAAAAAAGGCGCTGATACCAAGGGCTCAAACAGAAAGAAAATGTTTATAAAATGATGATGGCAACATATGTACAAACGTGCTTGATACAACTGATGGATGCATTGTTATAGGAGCTGTAAGATTCCCCCAATAAAGTGATTTATTTTTAAGTTTTTGAAAAGAGATTATCATCAGGAAGGCTAGGCATGTGCTTAGTGGGTATATTAGGCTAGGCAAACAAGACACACAGACACACACACACACACACACACACACAGATGTGAATGTGGGCTGGTGAACCCAGAATCAGCAAGAACACCCCAGACTGCAGAGGCAGATGAATCCAAGATCAACTGGTCAGGCTTGTGACAAAACAAAACAAAACAAACAAACAAACAAACGAAAACCACCAAAATCAGTGCCATCGAGTCAATGCCAACGCCTAGTGATCCAATAGAACAGGGTAGAACTGTCCTTTTTAGTTTGTGAGACTGTAACTGTTTACAGGAGTAGAAAGCCCTGTCTGCCTCCTGAGGACCAGCTGGTGGTTTCGAACTGCCAACCTTGCAGATCACAGCCCAGCTCATAACCATAGACCACCAGGGCTCCAATAGGCTTGTGACAGGAAAGACAAATGCATCCAAGGTCGCCAGGTCAGATGGCATACCTCGGATGGCTCTCAGGATCACCAGGCAGCATGGCAAGCACGAGCTTCAAGTCCAAAGGACCAAAGGTCCATGAGCCAGATACGGGATCCAGGCCCAACAAAAAGCAAACTAACGTTCCACCATGATTATTTATATAGTGAGTAAGCCACGCCCGTGAGGAAACCTCTTTCAATTGTGCTAGGACTCTGATCAGAGGAAGGAGGTTACACTCCACCCTAATCGTATAACTGCCCACTGCTCGTAGCCGATTCCGTCGTGGGGTGCAGCAAATTGTGCTAGACCACATCGTGGGGGATGACAAGGCTTCAACTGCCAAACCACTGTGAATCCCAGCACAGCCAGGTTGACACAAAGTCCGCTCTCACAGTCGTATAGAGTGTCTTTGCATGTGGGGAAGGGAAGAGGACAGGAACCCGTACCCAGAGACAACTTACGACGCACCCGATGCTCACCACTTTCCTAGTCCTACCCTTCTCTAGTTTATTTCCAGCTCCGAATGACACAGCACTTGCCATCTGATCTCCTGGACAAGGTTGCAGAAGCTGCCAGAACCATGTAGCTAGTAGGAAGCAAAGCTATTTAAACCCTCTGTCTTGACTCATCCATTGCCCAAACAGAGTGAGGGGCAGCCCTGACAAGAGACAAGGAAGGGCAGCAGTGGCTGAGTTCAGACTGGGTTAATTCCAGTGTCCCTGCTGTATGATCCTTCGTGTCTATTGTGTCATGGGATTTGGAGTCCAGCTCGCCTGCAACAGAAGTGGCCCCTTCACTGTCTGAAGTTAGGGAAGCGTGCGACGGATTTGACATTGGTAAGACCGATCTGCTTCTTAGTCACATCAGGCCTCGATGTCCTCATTTGTAACCCGCAGTGATAATATCTATTTCATAGGGTCATGGATGTGGTGTAAATAAACTAGCAAGAGAGTCGCTTAAGCTCGCTGCATGGTCTACAAATGCTCATCAGACTGACACGGCACGAGGTGCTCAGGAACACAGGGGATGCCGTTTAGCAAGCACCCGCCTATTGCCTGGGAGCCCTTGGGGAGCACAGACAGTCAGCGGACTCGGCTGCTAAAGAAAAGATGGAGGCTTGGGTCCACCAGAGACGCTTGGGGGGCAAGGTTTGTCATCCTGTGAAGCCCAGCACTGAAAGCCCTGTGGAGCACAGTTGTGCTCTTGACACACGTGGGCGTGCCGTGGGTGAGACCAGCTCGGTGGCAGGGGCGTTGGGTCTTTCTGCCCAATATGGCATGGCTTCCCCTCCAGAATGGCAGCTTCTCGGGGAAGTGGAGGTGGAGCTGTGGCCAGCATAATGCACTATGTTTTCTCCCAGGGTCCCCACACCAGCTCTGTCTAATTCTGCCCTTGACCTGATATCCCCCTACAGCCTTTCGGCACAACGAGTGTCCAGATCCCGGCGTTCCGGTGAATGGCAAACGGTTTGGCGACAGCCTTCAGCTGGGCAGCTCCATCTCTTTCCTCTGTGACGAAGGCTTCCTGGGCACCCAGGGCTCAGAGACCATCACCTGCATCTTGAAGGAGGGCAGCGTGGTGTGGAACAGTGCCGTGCTGCGATGTGAAGGTAGGAGACGGCTGCGGGGCTGAGCGCTCTGTCTGGATCTGTTCTTCTTCTGCAACCCGCACCCAGGGGTCCAGGACCCTCCTGCCTTGACAGGACCACTCTGCAGAGAGTTTGGGTTGTCACCGGAGATAAAACGTGGAGAAGCGCTTGTTCTGGAATGTCAGGCATCCCGCCCCATAGCATAGCCTCCAGAGCCCGGCTTCCAGCTCCTGCCCAGGAGAGCCCCAGCAGCCCAGTGGAGGTGACAGAGTTCTCTGGTCTTTGGGGCTGCCTGCCACTCTTCCCTTTGCCACACGCTAATTTCCCACCCCAGTGCCCTGAGAAGTCTCCCAGCCTGGGCCCTCGTGCCCCTGTGAAATGCTGCCTGATAACCTCACGTCAATCTCCGGGAGGGGAAGGGCAGAGCAGAAACAACGCAGCTTGACGCGGGCAGGAGGTTCACGATGCCTTGGCCGCAGTCAGCCTGGCCACACAGCCTGGCTCCTGCCCCGGGTTCCCATAGCAGCCATCCATCCGTCCAAGTAAACGGCAGGCGTTTTGAAGCCACGTTTAAGCTTCCTGAGGGCAAGGATGGTGTCATGACCTTGGACCCTGCACAGTGCTGGGCATAGAACTGCTCCGTCAGTACTTGTGAGTGAGGGGCCGCCGGCCGACACCCCTTGAGCTCACTGGGGCAGGCACTGTGTCCCGGGGTCACAGTCGGCGCAGAGCTTGTTCTTCTCTTCTCTGGGGACCCAGACAACACCTTCTCCTCATCTCATGCGGTGGACACCTACAAGGCCCTCCCACCTCCCCTCTCCCAACCCCAGCAGGTGGGAAGGATGGGGGAGTGATGAGGAAGGCAGCC